TTCAGGACTCCGAGTTTTGTTGGAGGATTTATGTTCACTTGTAGTTCAGCGGCTGTAGATGGTATTTCTGGACGAAAGTGCAGGTGGTGGTGGTGGTTGACTCAAGAGCTTCTTGAAGCGGTCAGCCCATCCTTTCCTTTGTTCCTCTTCTTTCGTAATTAAATTTCCGTCACCATCTTTTATTGGTTACGTCTGCGTTGATCTCTTCCCAGATAGCAACCTGGTTGTTTGATACAATGTTGTCAAGTCTCTGTCTCTCCTACCTGTGGCAGCCTGTTCTGCTTCACTCGCCAGTGTTTTGTGGAAGTGTCTTTTGTCTCTCCGTGCACTCTTCTTCACTTCTTTGTCCAGTGTTTTGTACATTGTACTCAATTCCTCTAGTCGTTGAGCATCCATGCACTGGTTTATCTTCTGCTTCATCATCCTCCTCTCCCTGCTCTATCAGCTTCCATGTGGCCATTGAGATCCATTCCTTATCTTCTTTTTTCTTCCTTCCTAATGCGGTTATACAGGTTTCCTTCCATATCTCTTTCAAAGACTTCCAATGTTCTTTCACACAGGTTTCTTCAGGGATGTTGCTTGATATCTCCCATTTTGTCTTGATGGCTGACGTGAAGATTTCCTTTGTAGTTTCATCCTTCAGTTTCCGAATGTTGTACTTGAACTGAGGTCTATCACCAACTTCCCTGAAGGCTTTTAACTTGATTTGGAAGGTTCCTTGCACTAGATAGTGGTTTGAACCTACATCTACTCCTCTTCTTGACCTTGTGTCAAATAGACTGCGTCTACATTTTCTTGAGATTGAGATAAAGTCGATCTGATTTTTAGTGTGTCCATCTGGTGAAATTCATGTCGCTTTGTGAATATCCATGTGTTTGTACACACTACCTCCAATCACTAAATCGTTGAATGCACAGAATTCTGCAAACAATTCTCCATTCTCGTTCATCACCTCACCAAGCACTGCTCCACCCATGGTTAGTTCTCTTCCTGTGTTGTCCCCTCCCAGTTTGGCATTCATGTCGCCCATTAGAATTTTGATATCGCCAACTTGAGTGGTGTCTTGTCCAGTGTTGATTGAAGTTGTCTGTAGAATTCCTCCTTCTTCTCTTCATCTGCTTGATTATTTGTAGGTGTGTAGAGTAGCATTGTATGATTGTGACCTTCCTTCCTTTTGAGTTGAACCTTGCTGTCATGATTTTGATCATTGAGGAGATTGGTTGAAGTTTTTTAGCGGTTAGATTTGTTTTACGGGGTAGGGTTGCTAGCCCTATGCCCAACCTTCCCTCTTTATCGGGCTTAGGACCGGCTATTAACTAGTGAACTAGTTAACCAGGCGAGGTTACAATATATGACTGGACACAACTTATAATTTGCATGAAAGAAAATTTCAGAAAAAACTTTTTTAATAAGCACTTCAAAACTTGTCCCTTTAACTTTTATTGCATACTTGTCGATGAGTTCCATAATATTTGAAATCATAAGGAGGGTTCGCACACAAGCATTTGTTATGACATCTCAGTAAGATGTTGACATTCTGTAACAATCGATTTAAAGCCTAATAACAATCTTTCTACACTGAAACTGTTCGCTATCATTCTGTAATTTACTTTATCTCTTAAACGTGCAACGCGTCTATCAAATGGTTAACACTTACTGTATTGCCTTCAGAAGACTGGAAGCGAAGACTTAATTCTGTAGATTGTAAACTAAAAGTTCATCACTTATCAGTAATCCAGGCAAATTAATAAGATTAACAAGCTATTGGCCTTATTTACAAATATTGAGGAAAAAATCAAATAAACTTTTGAGCACATTCAGCTTGGTGACTAGCAGTGGAATCCCGAACGCGGATTTCGTCCTATTTTAGGAACATGTCAGCTGGATGAACCTGTACCGCAGAGTATGATGTCGTTCATATGAAACTCAAACCTAGTACCCATTGCTCCAAGTGCCAAAGCATCATCCACTAGGCCACTGGAGTACGAGATCTAACGCTTGTGCAACGCGTACCAACTGTTGCTTATTGATACTTGTAACTTCTTTTTGCTATACCGAGCCAAACTGTCCGACCTCTGCTGGCAGATGAGCTCCTATGCAAATGCCTCGATACTGCAGGATAACCATGTTATGTAAATCTTGGTGACTAGCAACAGAATCTAGGATGCATGTTTGTTCCTACTTAGAACTCGTCAGAACTCGTTCAGAATACCTCGGCCATGAAATCTCTTTACAATGCTATCAACATTTCACTATAAAAAAAAGAATAAGTGTGTTATTGACATCATATATGTGAACATGAAAAGTATACGTTGGGATTACTTTTCAATACATAATGCCTTCTTTCGACAAAATTCAGGTGTTTTGATTTATATGAATTAATTTATGGGAAAAATTTACAAAAATAAAGGACCAAGAGACTCGCTTGAGAACTTGGGGCAAATAATGACAGCTAAGCTCATGGTTTTTCAGAATGAGCTGCCCTCACGACTGAGGTACTAGCCAGCAAATTTTTCAGTTTGGCTATAGATTGTATCGTCAGTGCACCGTGGTTTTACAAGTTAGTGAAGTTACTGGTTGTGCATGGCTATATATTAATTTGCTGCTTTGTCTAAGTCAAAATTGACTGTTTGCTTAATGAACAGGCAGGCCTATACAGAACGTAACTAACTGAGATTTTCCTGCTAGTCTTCTCAGAGAGGTGAGCAGCTATGTAAATGAATGAATTTTTATTCTGTCTTCAATACAATGAGATCGCTTCAATGTGATCAAACTGTCAACCAACCAGATCAAGACGACCTTAAGCACTTCAGCCAAATGAAATTGCCAACCAATCAAATCGGCGACCTTCATCAGTTCTTTTAAAAAAGACCAGATAATAACAATGAAGCAACCTTGGAGTACTACAACCAGACAAAAGAAGTCAACTGCTCACAGCTGCTCACCCCTTAAAAGAAACCTGAAAGCGCAAAGTCAGTCACTGGGTTTAAACATATACCTACACACTAACCAAAGACAAAACATTCATGAGCAAAAAAATATTTCTTTACAATAGCTTTGTTATCAAGCTTTACAGTCAAATCTGTCGTCGGTCAAAAGCCAGATATTTGAGATGAAAGTTTATTCACTTAACATACACGCGGAGGAAGTGGTTTTGCTGAAGAGGTGGTTCAAATGAACAGTATGTAAAGTCACTGAAGAAACGAACTGATTTCAAGACTTGTAGTGTTCCAATTGGTGTCTAAAAGGCATGAAATGATGATAAGGTTGATAAGCAAAACGACCATACAACACGGAAAGTGACAAAATTAACTCTTAAAAACTTATTTTTAAGGAGAAGTTGCAGGATATGGTTTCACGAAGTGCTTCCGGATAAAGAATTAAGAATTTCGTCGGGATACAGCCAACGTTTTGGCTGTACATATATGGCGTAAACCTAGATAATTAGGGTGATTCTACTTTGCTCTGTAAATGAACTCAATGAGGTGCTGAATAACCTGACTTCAATAGGTGTTCGCAAAGCAGGATGCTTTCGTCCCTTCCTTACCATTTGTTAACCAAACTGCGTAGCCTTCAAAAGTGAGTTTCCCAAAGAAATTTCTTGAAAAATCATAACAGTATTGCCCATATGGATTCAGTTCTAAGATCATTTCTGTTAAAAGACCGTTCTAAAAATTTAAAGTTACATGTTAGAACAGACGAGGCCTAGAGGAGACCACATGGCAACTCCCTTCCTTAAACTATACACTCAGCCGTTTCATTGATTCATCCTATGCAGTGAATAAATGCAAACGTATCTGGAACTATATAGTTACACAAACGTGACCTGACGTGTTCAAGAATTCCAGCCAGCCATTTTGCTATTAGGTGATGAATAAATTTATCGTGTTTCAGTGTCTGGCAAAAGAGGATAGGATTCTAATCTACCACGAAAAAGAGGTATGGTTGGAATAGATTGTGTTTTTATATGTCCGAAGTAATTATCGTTGTTTCCATTGGTTTTCCCAAGGCTTTCTGATCATCTGAATTTCATTGCCCTCTGCTCTGCTGTTATGGTCTCTCTCAATTTCAGAAATTTATATCCGCCTTCTTTAATCAGGCATACTTAATTAATCAATGTAATCCATCAGATCTAAAACAAAGATTCATAGCATTTTATTTGACTGTACATACATCATCCCTTTCTTATTCTATAGTTCATTCATTTAAACTTTTTGTCTTTTCAATGTTCTTCTACGTTGCCTTGGTTGCATTTGCGAGTATTAGTAGTTACAGAGTAATTTTGTGGATTTGAATCTTTCAATGGAAGTCAGGGATAGTAATCTGCTCATTATAATCTGTACGCTGTTATGTTTGTGTTAGCTACTCATATTTATTGCGGCTACTTTTAACTTTGTTTCTCAGACACTCTTCTCGATCAACCAATTCTTTTCCTTCTTATACCGTCTTCACAAATGAACCTTACATATGAGATTCTTGTTTTACTGATTGAAATTAAAAGGTTCCGGAAAAATTCTGCGTTTTCTAAAAATTCCCAAATAGATAATTCTTCAAATTACATAGAGTGTCAAATATCTGCACTTCTAAAGCTGTGATTACCAAAGAACATTTATGCAGTCAAATGAATAAGAAAAACGCAGTGCTAAGAACCTGATTTTTTTGTACACTGACTAATCACTCGACAGCAATCAATAAAACGTTATTTTGACCTAATCATCAACTTGTTTTAGTTGATCATTTTGAAATGTAGTTATTAAGCGAAAAGACTCACTGTTGCTGTTCACTTGTGGCTGATATTAGGTGGGTGGATGCAATCAGCACAAAGCTCTGCAATCATATCTTAATGGTTATTTGTGCTTTGATACACCAAGCTCAGAGCAACCGTCCAACTATCTTCATTTATATGACATCAGCTCCGTTTTGTCTTATGCTTAAAGTATAGTATTATGGTAGCATATTTTTACTCTATATATGCTTCTGTATTAATTTGGTTATTTCAGGTTATGGACACGCCACTCCGAAAACGAATCTAGGCAAATTTATGACAATCCTTTATGCGCTGATTGGAATTCCGTTAATGTTTTTATATCTATCTAATATCGGTGACTACTTGGCTGATGTATTTCGAGTAATCTATTCACGTACATGCAGAACAAGTTGTGAAAAATTTTGTTCAGCTTCAATATTGAGTACAATTGATAATAATCATAACCATATCGAACAAATAAATAAAAATGGTCTACAAAATGATTCCACTCTACCAGTTGATACTGATCCTGCAATCAACCCAACCCATTCACATGGCCGCCGGCGTAAACGTGTTCTACTGCAACCCTTCAATACCAACATTAATAATACTAATAATGATGACAGTAATGATGTTGTGGGAACTTTTAATGATAAGGCTAACTTCAATGAGTCTACAGCTAAACAGAATCGACAAGAACCAGTAAATTTATATGAAAAAATCAATAAAACAGCTGAAGAAACATATAATGCACAAAATTCAAAATTTTACACCTTGAAAAACAAACAGTTTTTCTTGAAACTTTCTAAATACTATCAAAAATCTCGTGTGTACATTAAACAGTCTCGTTTGACAGCATTTTTTCAGTCGGATAGTACAAGTGCATTAGCTCAAGTAAGTGTAACCTATGTATGCTATTTTTGTCTTTGAATGTTCCTTGAATAAAATCAGTTCGTTTGTTCTTTTTATATGGAGTATAGAAAGCAAATTAATTCAGCGAAGAAAATTCTCTTTTCAAAGAATAATTTATTGTAGCTTTACAACTGTATTTATAGTAACATCAAACAAACCGATTAGTATATTATTGGCTAACAGATCAACATTACGTCTTCAAAGCGGAATCTTCTAAGATGAAATAGTGAGCCGATTTCGGAGTTAGAAAAGAATTACTTAAGTGTGTATAACGAAAATAAACAGCAGATGAAACAGGTCAAAAGTTTTAATACAAATTATCATCAATAATCACCAGTGTAGAGATCTACTGCACTCAGTATAAAGAACAAGATCCAGATTTCCAATATCAACCTCATGTCAGTGCTGTTGTACGGTTAAGAGACCGGGTGCGTTAGGAAAGGGATTTCCAATAAACTACAGACATTCATCAACAACTGTGTACACTCGTTAATGAGATCAGATGGCCAGAAATAATAACCAACAAGGAACTCTGGCATGGCAACTAACCAACCAAGAACCTTTCGCCCAACAAACATGCAGAATGAAGTGGAGATGGATTGGGCATATACTGAGAAGGCCGACTGGGGACATCACTCGACAGGCCAGGCAAAGTTGTCGAGTGGAACCCGTGTGGGAAACGACGAGTTGGGCGTCCCAGCTGAAGGTGACAGGGAAGAGATTGTGTGAGGAATAAATGAGAGCTTCTGGGCTAACGTGGAACCAGGTTGAAAAGATTGCAGAGAACAGAATGCACTGAAGATATGGTACTGAAGCCTTATGTTCCATTAGGTACCCAAGTGACAAATAATATAATAGTAATAGTCAATAATCCGAATAAAGTATTATGAGGATTTTAATGGGAGATTGAAGCTAACACGTTAAGATGTGAGAAGTTAAATTGTAAGGCAAAAACAAGAAGAAATGATAAACAGTCAGTAAAAATAAGGTGAATATTGAAGCAGTATAGAAACTCCGTGAAGCATTATAACCATGGCAAAATAAGAAAATTCATGTATCTTTTCTGTACGCAGAGCTCAGACTTTAACTGTTGAATTACCAGAGCTTCTGCTATACATAGCTGAAAAATTCATGCTCCTTTCGAGCCTTTTAGCTTGACTATGCACAGGATTATGAAACAAGACTGTGGGAGGCGATCTGAACAGAGCTGTACAAATGATCCAACGTGCAACCTTTGCTTGACTTGAGTTTTTTTCTGGACAGACACATAGAAAAGTGCTTGGAGTTGCTTTTGGAAAGACTGTGCTTTGTGAGGCTTAGATAATGGATATGGGACTGTTTTGAATCAACTGTTCGTGAGAGTAAGCAATTCCCAGTTCAGCTAAATAGAATGTTTTTCTGAATGCTTTGGAGAGACGACTCTTTACTATTTTTGCCACATGCCCCCTGTGAACTCAATATTTATGAATAAGGTTTCCTTAGAAACAGTTAGAGCTTGTTTTTGTCATTCTTTCGGTTTCACGTTTTTTTGATGAATCCTGGGGAATTATTAATTATGATTAGTATTATTACCTTTGGCTTGTTTCTTTTTTAACCTATTAGTTTTCAAGTCAAGCTATTGCATATTGTCCTTATACATACATGCTTACATAATCCTTTTCTAACCCAAGAATTGACCCACTATTTCAGCTTAGGACATTCCGTCTTGAAGACTTAATGTTGAACTATAAACCAATAATAAGGTATTCCATTTCCTTGGTATTATTAAAAGTACGATTGCAAAGCTACTGTTAATGGTTCATCGAAAAGAGAATTTTTTGAGTAACAAATACTTTAATTTGACTATGTAAATCGATGCAAGTGCCTCCATTTAAGCCTTTCACAATTATACAAATTTCATTTCACTTGGTATATTTTGTGGATTTTTAGCAAGGTTTAATCATGTGGATTTTATGCTTTGACTCAAAAGCTTATCCAAAAATGACAAAGGATTGTCACGTTTTCATTTCCAACCTTACTTGATTACTCAGAATTTCATGTTTGAACAACAAAATAGCCTGATATTGTCATAATCTGGTCAACATCTTTCTGTCAAAGTGGAATGGTCGACAAATTTTCTCAGTTGTGGTACTTGTTCTGTTGTCAAGAAGAGTATTTAAGAATCATCCTTGAGAATCGCATGGGTTTGTTTACGATTTACCTTTAGTTTGCAAGTGAAACCTAATCAGACGAAAGTTAGTCTTTCCGAATTTTTTTATTTATTGGGAGCAATTGAGTATTCAAAATAGGCTTACTCTCAGATAATATATAAATGTCTTTTCTTAAGCACAATAACAAACAAAAATTCCTGATGATAAACGGTATTTGGTGGCTGAACCCAAGATGTGTATTTAGGACTTATCAGCTGAACATATCTGCCTTCCAGTAAGTAATCCGGGTCAAGTGCACAAACAGGGACCATACGTTTTGACAACACATACAAACCACATTGAAAATTGTCATTTCTAAGGTTGGTTTACTAGGGTCGCTAGACAACTGTTGAGATCTAATATTTTTCGTAACAAAGAAACACATGTAAGATTTAAGCCTAATTTCATAAAAATATTTTACTTCTCTATTTAATAAACGTTTACTGTAAGAGTATATCAATAAATAATAACGGATGTAACTGACAAATAAGAGTTTTCTTGTACCAATCTAACTCTCTCATTAAGCTAAGTAATGTGAAACTGTTATGGAGTGTAACTGTGTGTTATATGTTATCAGTTAATGAAAAAGAATCTCTACTTGATCTAGGATTCATACCTGTTAGTGTTCATCAACAAAACGTATCTGCAGCCCTCAGCAAAATCATGCTCATTTGAAAATTTAGACATACTTCTCTCAGTGCTAAATATAATCACTTCTTGAATCGGATCAGTGAAATCACAAATAGCTAACTTGCATAGTCTCTGACTTCAGTATTGACTCTTCTGAGTTAGAATCTTCCATAGGACATGAGTTTCTTCAAGATTTCAAATAAATCCTGCTGGCCATTAGCAACAAACCTGAAACGAATGTTCAAGGTTTCCTGTCAAATGACAGCTAATAACTAAATAACACTAGCCAACTAATCTTTTTAAAGAGTTGCCTACAGAGTTCAAATGATAAAGTTATTTCAACACTTTTCTAATCTTTCCTGCCCGTTTTAATGATGATATATTTCCCGAACAACTAAAACTGTCTTGTTTATATAAAATACTTTAGGTCACCCTATTTTGACTGACATCCATTTATAATATGAATTTACGATTGAGGATATAACGAAAACCTAGGTCTTAGCCTTCGGGCAGTTTGTGTAAAACGTTTTGTGGACTAGATTTTTGTTTCCCGTTCACTCATCTCCCTGTGTCACAAAAAGCATTTCATCACATCAGTGATCTATAGGCACCCAAAGTAACTAATTATTACTTGGTACCCTAAAAATATTCTTTAATTAAGTTTGAGAAATAATTTCTTGATTTGTTTTGTGAAGCTGAAATATAGTTAACAACTAAATGGCTAATTCATGACTAGTAATAAAATACTTTTAAACTTTTGACTTCACACATCTCGTAAAAACTAGACACTGGACTCAATATACGCTTTTTTAATATTAATAGGCATGCGTACTTTTGCAATGTACTTAAAACTTAACGGTCACACATTTACTGATTGGAGTGAATTTTTTTACAAACGTAAAGGTAAACTATCATGTTAAATAAATCACTTCAAATGATAGATGCTTACTAGTTTAAAGATTACAAAAAAGGCACATGAACATACCGATTTATTACTTCGTATATCAAGAATAAAAGTACGACCAAATGGAAGTGTTTATTGCTGTTTAAAAATATAATACTGAAGTTGCACACTTACTTTAGGCATGGATGAACTAAACGTTTCTGTGCTTTCCAAGAAGTTCCAATACACTGGATGAATATATGGATGTTTACATACTACTTTCACAGTTTCCTTTCTCTCCACTAAAAAAGGTGTGACATACTTTCATTTAACACTAACGTACTAACTAGTATCTGCTGTGTGAAGTTAAAATAACGAAATCTGCTGTTGTATAGTGACCTCAAAAGACCGAAAAACGATTTTCCAAAGGAAATATATTATTTTCTGTCGTTTCGGTATTCACAAACTCTTACATTACAGGTAAAATAACTTACCATTTACTCGATTTTCAAGTTTCTAGGGGGAAGAATTTAGAGGTTATAGATCTACTGCACCCAGCACAAAGGACAAGAACCGGATTTTCAACACCAGTGTCAAGTCAGTGCTTCTACGTGATGGTTCAGAAACTTGATGTGTCACGAAAAGCACTTCCAGCAAACTACAGACATTCATCAACAGCTACCTACGCTTGCTCGATACTGAAGATCAGATGGTCAGAATAATAAGAATCAGCGACGAGGAACTCTGGCAATGAACCAACCAAGAACCTATCACCAAACAAATACACATAAGAAAATGGGATGGATTGGGGACGACTGGGGACATCAAGTACCAAGACCGGCCCTCGACTGGAACCCGTGTGGGAAACGATGAGTTGGGCGTCTGAGCCAAGCGTGACATGGAGGAGATGGTGTGAGGAAGAAAGGAAAGCTTGCGTGCAGTGGTGGAACCAGGTTGAAAAGACTGTAGAGGAAAAAGTAGAATGGAGGCGTGCTACTGAAGCTTTATGTTCCACTAGGAACCCAAGGGAAAAATAATACAATAATATAAGTTTAGAGGTTACAGTTATAATGACCTCTTGGTCTAGAAATCGATATTTAGTAACAAAAACCAGGGATCATTAGTAAAGAATTTCCTAAATGTTTCCTTAAATATTACTGATTAACTTTTTATTGTCTTCAAGATATAACTGGCCATTGAAAGTCGCTGAATAAGTCGTTTAAAGGGAGCAAAATTCTTCATTTTGACCAATAAACGTTTGTTATAATAAAGGTTAGACT